ACGGATCGCAACCCTCAGTGTCGCCCCCGTACCGGACCGGGACCGGCAACGGGATCGCAGCCCTCGGTGTTGCTCCCATGCCTCGCTCAGCCAGTGAGCGGGAACTGGTCTGTATGTGGGATCCGAACCCTCGGCGGGAGCGCCACCGCACTTCCCAAGCGGCGCACTATAGCAGTGCGCCACCGGGCTGGCCCCGGAATATGTTTTTGTATATACTTTGAACACTTCACCGCTCTCCCCCAGATGTACAATGAGATATGTCAGCACATTTATTAAACTGTTTTATTTAGGACTCTTTCAGTTTCCCGAACCCTCGGTGGGAGCGCCACCGCACTTCCCAAGCGGCGCACTATAGCAGTGCGCCACCGGGCTGGCCCCGGAATATGTTTTTGTATATACTTTGAACACTTCACCGCTCTCCCCCAGATGTACAATGAGATATGTCAGCACATTTATTAAACTGTTTTATTTAGGACTCTTTCAGTTTCTTGTGGCTTAAAATCGCAACAAAATTCCAAAGGATAGGCCTGGTTACAGGCAAGGTTTGATACAGTAGCAAAAATAATATTGCTTTAAAAAATATTGCTTCCCCTCCCCCGTCTCAGTTGTCTCCTTTTTGGTATTGTATTTCTCCTTACAATCCTTACCTTGACCTTCCTCTGTCTGTCTTGTGTTTTGTTCCACCTCAATTCCAGATCCTTCCCCCATGGTTATACAACAACTATGAAAGTTTTAGGCCTTACTTCCTAATACCACAGGAGAACAGTGTCTTTCTGAAGCTTTTCTGGAGAGCAAGTTTCTTTTCCCAAATGTCCAAGTAAATAGCCCCTTTGATTGTTGTCCTTGATTAAGTCATGTATCTGATCCAGAATCTGTCACTGTTGACTGGGGGTGAGGGGTAGGGTGCATGAGGAAATGCTGATTAGTTTGAACCGGTTTGAATTTACCCCTGTGAGCATAGGATTAAGTCCCTCTGAATCATATGACTGAGAATGGGGAAGGGAATGTTTCACAGCAAATTTTAGGTACTGTCTCCAGGAGAGAGAACAAATGCCAAGTAATCAAACCTCAGGTGACCATGGCATGACTCTGTCTTCTTCCTACTAAATATAAATGGTACCTTGTCCCGACCCACGGGATATTAACCAACAATCAGGAAGAAAATGCTGGTTGCCATGACCCCTGTGGAAAAGAAAAGAAAAAGACATGCTCAGGGATCTAGCTAATCCCTGGCTGAGAAGTTATGATCAACTTGTTTAACCAGCCGTTCTGGCAGCCATCTGGCCGAGTTATGAGTGCGAGAAAAAACACAGACTGAACCTCTACCCCAGATCAAAACTGGATCTGGGCCATTCCAGGAGTTATCTAGGGGGTCGAGTTTCAACTCGTCCCTGGCCTTAGGCAAGGCTATAGGGTGATATTGTAAAGGGTGGAACAAAGTTGACTGCCCCACAAACTTGTTTTGGGGCCTGGGGCTGGCCCCTCTTCTGGTTTCCCTGAAGGGGTGGCAAGGAATTTCCCTGAACATCAGTCAGTCTTAGATCTGCACTCATTGGCCCAATGCTTTCCTTGTT